TTCATTTCGGTACGACCTTCTTCAGGGCATAAACCTTTATACCTTGAAGATGACTCACTATGTCACAAAAACTAATGTCCATCTTTTTTTTTTTTTTTTTTTTTTTACAAATTTACAGCCTAATAACATCTTAAGGAGACAATTTCAGATGTGTATGTTCAGATTATTTAATATTCTCAATGCTTAATCAATGCTGCACGGATTGTGCCAAAAACAAGTGTCTGGTGTGGATTTAAATAAATTAATTTTGCATATCGATATATGTGATAAGCTGTTTAACTTGAAAAAGTCTGTTTCTACTGATGATTACAAATAGCCTAACAAGTAACTTACTCACCTGGTTCTAGATGCTGAGATTGTAGCTCAGTAAATGTGCTGCTGCTGCGTGATGCCTGGATAGAAGACGCTGCAGCGTAAACAAGAGACGGCATAACCCCCAAAGTCCACTACCTACGCTTCGGCACGAACTCGCAGCAAAATTGGTCCCGTTGTAGTCAATCAGAGCCATTCCACTACTGCGGCAGTGCGCCGCCCTCTGTTCCGGCGTCCGGCAAAAATATAATTGATCCTACGCCGGAGCACCTCCGCAGTCAATGGACAGGAATCACAACCGCCCAACAGGAAAGGGAGCAAGCACAGCTTCCATTATTTCACAATAAATCGATAAACAAAAGGCGTTTTTTGTTTCATATGCACAGGTTTAACAACTTTTAACATCAATGGCGGCTGAAGTTTAAATGCACAAAAGTAAGCCATAAATACAGTTTCCACTATCAAAGTAGTCACACTTTGTTGATCCAAACACTGCTGATCTCTCAACACAAATGATGGCAGATTAAACAGTTCATGCTGATGCTTCTCCCACACATCGGGTGTTTGGATCTAACTTCCGCGTTTATTGCTCGGACTGTATCGCAAGATCTCGAAAATCCCACGCATGCTTGTTTGCGCACCTCAGGTCTCCGCACCGGAGCGGAGCCGTTGTAGAGCGGGTACCAGTGAAAATTGAGTTCGGAAGCGAGCGGCTGCGGAAGGCGGGGGCGGAGCGGAGGTAGTGGAATTTGGAGGTTAGATGTCATGCTGTGTTTAGGCAGTGCGATAGGCAGTTCTCACTCCCTGCCGGGCCCGGCGGCAGCGGGAGAGTCCCCGCCACGGCGGTGCCGCCCGCCCGATGTGTCTGAGAAAGTTGAAATTTTGCTACACCCACACGTAGCGTTCTTCTGATATGAAAATATTACATTCATATTGTATGCGTACCTAAAACTTGAATCGAAGTTCATAAAAAGGCTGCAATCATTCTCCAAAAAACGGTAAAAAGCAATCTTACATTCTTCATCATCACAGTGAGACTCAACAGGTGTAGAAGACAGTCCCGCCCCCCTGGTGTCAACAGGTGCCTGTTGTGGCTGCAGATATTGTCTCACTGCATCTGGACACGACGATTCAAAAGTAAAATTAATTGGTTAAAGTTATGAGATACTGTATTGTGTATGTAAACCACAGACTGTACATCCTGGACAATTCGATTCCATAGGCTCCAATAACACATTTTTTGTCTATAATGGGAGGTGGCCACCACCGCCATTTTGACCGTGTCACAGGTTCCGTCCAGCCCAGACAATTCCATAAAAGGGAGGAGAGGAGGAGCTGAGGGTGGGGCTGTAAGGCTGGGATCGAGTGACGACACCCGGTCGAACTAGCTACAAGCTAACCTGAAGCTAACCCAAAGCTAAAGCGGAGGTGGGAGCTAAGCTAACGGAGGTAGCAACCTAGCTACAACCGGAGTTAACTGTGCACAACACCAGAGCTTCTGAGTCAGAGATACGCCGGGCTGACCGCTGGGTAAAACCGGGTGGAACACACAGGTCTCCGAGATCTCCACAAGCCGGCAGCCGCACAGCAGACAAGCACCGCTGCGATCTGAGATGCGCAGAGCTGCCGCTGGGGAGAACCGGGTGGAAAGGTTTCCATCCCAGGGCTCCACAAGCCGGCAGCCCGCGCTTCAGACAGAAGCTGCGATCAGACAGAGATGCGCCGAGTTGCGGGGAGGGGAGAAGAGCTCCACAAGCCGATAGTGGGAACCCAGCTCCACCAACATGTCATATTTCAACCCATTTTCTAAAGTGCAGCATTATGTTAAATGCACTGGGTTTTACCCTATTACATTTAAATTTCATGGTTAAACAGTACATGTTAAAATCTAAGCTCAGCTTGGAAGTGACCTAAAATACATAAATATAATTTTACTTACCGAAAAAAATGAAGTGGAGACTGCTTGGACGCTCTATTAGTGCAATTAATGCCACAGCAAGTCATTTTGTCCAACAATTGCACAAATAATATCCAAACAAGAATACACAAACACAGAGACTCAAAATCCCGGAACAGTTTCCAAGCCAGACCGAGGCTCTACTGAGGCCTTTCCACGGAGCTAGCTCTCCACGGAGAATATCTTCTCAGCCTTCAGAGAGTACAGACGCTTTTTTCTCAGCTCCCTTATCGGCTTCCCCAAGGCTCTTGTCCTGTCTGCCTACAGAGCACTTCTCTGCATTTCTCCTGAAACCACTACTCTTTTTTGGAAATATGGACTTAATTAATTGGTCATTCAACGCGATTGACAAAATTTTCTCTACGATGAGAACGGAGAAGGGGGCTCCCACCTGTCCCGAGGGGACATTCGCATCGGGATATGCACTCGATTCTTGGGAGGTCTGGCGAATCGTGTGCCTCTCTCAGCTGTCCATCGAGGACGTGGAAGATTTGTGGATATTCGGCCTGATGATCACTGGATTTCTTCTGATTGGAGTGGGAGGATATCTGGTTTTCTGGAAATTTGGGAAGACGGGAGCGATTGGAGTGCGACCCGTACACATGGAATGTGCCGCTCGTGCGGTGACCTCACAGACTGGGACGTTACTCGAGGTGAACCGTAAGCTGGACAATGTCCTTGCGGCGTTGCCTGTGTTAGTGCGCAAGATGGATTTGATCTCGGAGAGGGTCGCCGGACGATGCGGGGATGTGGAATGTAAAATTGGCTTCACTGGTGGACATGAATGACCGGTTATAGACTCCAAGGCGGAGAGGAAGATTATCTCCGTCTGCCCTAAACAAAGTCATGTTTATCCTTATCTGACGCCATAGCAGCCTCTCAAGGCTGCCTCAACACACCCCCACAAAAGGAGGAATGCCGACAGATGCTGTGTCCCGACCTTCACCCTCTTCCTTCAGGCTGACATGTCTGCAGGGACCTCAATGTGCTCTCTGTTCCTTATCTCTCCCTCCCACCTGTTGTTCTGCAGCTGGTCGATGCGCCACAGTGGCAGCTCCCATTGGAGGCTTCAGGATCCCGCCCACCCCCACCTCCCCATTGGACTCTGATGTTGTATACGTGCTGTCTGTGCTTCCATGTCGGGTGTTTTTTTGCATTGGAGTGCTACACCCTGCTGGTGTAACCCTGTAATGCCTTTTTTTTCTCCCTCCCTGAATTTTCCTCATGTAACACCCTTTTCATCTAACTATTAAGGTAGCGCGACTCATGTTGCGAATGACCGCAGTCACCAATTCTTGTTATGTGTCTTACCCACGTATGTCTGATCTTTGAATTGTGTGTGCTGAAACTGAATTTCATTTCTCTGTATGTCCTGCACATGTGGAGAATATGACAATAAATGACTTTGACTGACTGTGGTCACGTGGGTCTGATGCTCATTAATTATACAGAATTTTAGGCTTTTAATACACTTAAACAGAAGAGTGAGAAAAACATTCACCCCCCTCAGAGTTGTCATGAGTGTAAACTAGATCATTTAAACAAAAAACATGTTCTGGTACCAGGCTGTAAACATGTTTATTTCTGCTGTGAAATTGGTATTTTTAACATGGGAGTCAATGAGGATTTGCTCGCTTCTGACACCAGCCCCTAGTGGATGAGGGTGGAACTGCAATTTTTGGTACTTCCGGGATGAGACCAACTTTAGAGCCACATTGTGGGGGCTTGGTCAAACAGGAACTCTGATAAACATTACGTGTGTCTTTTGAGTTTTTATTACGTGCCGTCGATAAACTACTTAATTTTACTTAATTATCTAATAATGCTATCAGATACAATGGTAATGCAAGCTTCTGTGTGGAAAATCACATTTGAGCACCTGAATAAACATTCACAAACCTTTTATCCTGACATGTTTCAAACAGAAACTATGATATTAATCGGCTGAGCCGCTAACAATTACACACACACAGGCTCACAACAACATTGTGACATCATAATGTACCAGCTAACGCCATAGTGTGCCTCTTACCCAATAGGGATGGCAGATTTAAATTGAAATGCTTTTTTAACCCTTTACTAACTATGTGATAACCGAGTAACATATATTTAATAATAAAAGACGATTCTGGACCAGTCTCAGAAGCTATAAATTCGTACGGAGAGCCAAGGTGAACTTAAATATGAATGAATGCCACAAGGTAAGTTATTTTCTTTATGTGTAGTCAACAATTATAACAAAACACAGTTGACAATCTGAACACAGTAGTGCAACCCGATCATCCGAACAATGAACAAAAATAAATTACAATTGGCCGGCAAAACGTACATTAACAAGGAAAAATATAGTATTAAACCCACTTTAATACCCTTCAATCGTTGGGGCCCTTTTTTTCTCTTTTCCCTTGTCACTGGTTTGTGTCCAATGCAAAAGTTCAATTGTCTTACCACACAGGCAGAGGAAAAGGAAGGGTGCCACACCCTCTTCTGTCCTGAGGTTCCACTGGCTCGCCACCCAGCGTCCGCTAGGAGTCTTCTAAGGATTCAGGTTCCAGGATCTGATGCTACTTCGCAGGGATGCTTCAACCGAGCAAGTTCAAGGTTCTTTATCCGGATCTGTCCAATACTAAAAAAAACCTGACCTGCAGATCGGCCAGAAAAACCCAAAGTTTTATTATGATCGCATCATTTTTCTCAAATATCCCATCCAATAATTATCTTATCCATCTGATATTAATTATTCCAATTTATACCCTCCCAATTCAATTTCACTACAAGTGAATTCTGATATGTATAATGTAGAATTACAATTACACACTTAAGTGCAACATTCACCAAATCTTATTACATCAGCTTGATGCTAATTTAGCATTAGGGATCATCATAGAACCAGTGATGGTTTCTATATAAATTAATATAACACACATCAAAGATCAGAGATACCTCACAGTAATCATACATTCAACCAATTTACAGATATTACAGTCATTCATGTGCTATCGGCCGCCTGCCTGCACCGGTATCAGAACAGGAGCGCACCAAAAATTGATTTCAGCTCACCCATGACGAGGAAAAACATCCTAACACATCTCCACTATACTAACATTTTACATCAGTCACATTCTGACAGTCACAATCAAAATAGTCTTCTCTCTCTTCAGCTGAACTGAATACACCTTAAAAAAAAGAAAGTTTTACAACACACTTAGTTCCATTTTCCAGCTAATGGAAAAACTAGGCTAACTTAGCCACCCTAGCCAGGGGCTAACCACTCTTTTCACCAATTTTCGCCATCATGTCAGCTTTTACACCTTATTTCTTTCACTCTAAGGTCGTTTATATATATATATATGTATATATATATATATATATATATATATATATATGTATATATATATATATATATTTTAACGTCCCATAACCTAAATTTATTACATCTCACTCACCGTCAAGTCAAGATGGGGTCTCTCAGATTGATCCAGCATCGGCGCCAACCGAGTGCCAATACCGGAGCTCTACAACCATAAACACGACGATATAACCACCAAACGATAGCAAGTACCTTATATTAACATCAGCTTTGGTCAAAAAGTCATTTTGTATCTGCTTACCATGCGGATGGCGGAAGATTTTAGTTTTCAGTTCCGAGCGATGACACGAGGCTGTTTCACTCACAGGAAGTAAGGAATCAGAAGTGTCATGACCTTGGTCTGTTTTAGCCTTCCAATTGGTCGGGTTCTCCCGAGGGATCATGGGAACCGTAGTAACACCATATTTCGACAGAAATTCCATTAAATAGCAGTCTTTAATCAATGAAGTCTTATTTGACAGTTTATCAATAAATTACTTACTTGATGGTTTTTCCTCAATTAATTTATGTCAGATATAATTATTTAAGCACATTCTAATGGAATGGTATTTTATATAAAAATAGATTTCTCCTAAACCTTGGTTACAGTCTCCCCTGCTGAACTCATGTACGTCCCTGTACATGGAAATAATCAGACACAATGAATTTGAGGTTGGCATGGTGGAGAAGCTGTTGTGGCTACTCGATTATCATGTAAAGCATCAGACAATACAGTGGTCAGCCCATGAAAAAATTATTTCACTACTGTGACCAGGGGGTTTCCAAGTTCTGGATAATCAAGCCTCTTTGGTGGTTGACGTTCTCTGTCCGATCGCCTGATAGGGATTTCGGTAACATTTATCCTTCCTCCTTCATTCATTCAAAAACTCCAATTTATGCGCTGGATAGCGACTCTGACTCCGTGACAGCCCTCTGCTCGCATAGCCGATCACTCTCATCTGACCCTCCTGTTCTTGATAGAGGACTGAACCTAGTCCAGTAGTGCTGGCATCTGTGTGAAGCACATATGGCCTCTGAGGGTCGGCAAATTCCAGCACGGGGGCGGTGGTCAGTTTGTAAATCACCTCCTCAAAGGCTTGTTGGCAAGTGGAAGTCCATCGTTCCCCGAAGGGCTCCTTTGGGTCTAGGTACTTGTCCAATTTACATGGTGTCTTGAGTCCTTTTCGAGAAGGTGGGTATCCGGAAGTCAGATCATGGAGAGGCTTCACAATGCAGGAATATCCCTTGACAAATCTCCTATAATATCCTGCAAAACCGAGGAAGGATCTAAGTTCTCTGAGACTTTTTGGAACAGGCCAGGTCTCGAGAGCAGCTGTCTTTTCCGGGTCCATCCGGACACCATCTCTGGAGACCACGTCCAAGGTAGCGGACTAATGTGTGGAAAAAGACACATTTCTCAGGGGACAATTTTAGTCCGAATTCTTTTAATCTGGAGAGCACCTTCATTAGCCTCTCCTCATGTTTTTCAAGAGTCTTGGAGAACATTATTAAGTCGTCAAGGAATACGAGCACTTCTTCCAGATGCATGTCCCCCATGCACTTCTCCATTAACCTCTGAAACGTGCTCGGGGCATTTGTCACCCCCTTGAGACATCCTATTAAACTCCCAGAACCCGAGGGGGCACATAAAGGCGGTTTTTGGCTTATCTGCCTCTTCAACTTCTATCTGGTAGTAACCAGATTTCAAGTCGAGCACAGAAAACCACTGGGAGCCATTTAGTGCACTAAACGTGTCCTCAAGCTTAGGAAGAGAGTATACATTCTTGATAGTTTGAAGGTTTAACCGCCGGTAGTCAATGCATAATCTGACTTGGCCGTTTTTCTTTCTCACCACCACAATAGGTGAAGAGAATGGAGACTCTGGCTCCCTGATAACTCCCATGTCGAGGAGCTCCTGGATAAGGTTTGCAAACTGCTTCAATGTTCTGTGGGTGGATAGGGCGCGCACACTGTTTGAAAGGGGTTTCATCAGAAAGCTTTATATGGTGATAGGGCTGTCGCGGTTGAGGAATTCCCCCTGCGGTGATTCAGGGTGGCTTAATATTGCGGTATGCGATATTATTGCAGTCCTTTTTTTTATTGCAGTACTATCTAAACATAATGTTTACACATTTAAAAAAGGTTAAAAATTGCCGTGCCTTCCTTTATAACGCTTTACTGAATGCAGATCAAAGGGCAGTAACAACACAGATCACAGTAACGTTTGTTTGTCCGACAGTTGGGAGTCTGACTGAACTTAAAAACAACAAAATTCAGGAGAAGGTTAAACTTTTAAATGCAAATTTGGCTGCAGCATCTAACAAATAAGAAACAAGTCCCCATTTTGTTTAGTTGTTTAAAATCAAGCATAAAAAATTACATGTACCGGGCGCGCGCGTGCCGGGGGGCGGGCGCACTATCATTTCACTTTCACACACACGAATGACGGTGATTTATAGCTCGGTCACGTCCTTGTTACATACAAGGAAAACCAGCATGTTAACCATATACGGTTGAGAGAGGATCTGAGAGGGGTGGCAACATTTCCAGCAACACTGAAAACCCTCTCGGATGGTGCGCTCGTTGCACTTACCCCAAATTCCACTACCTCCGCTCCCCTCCGCTCCGGTCCGGCCCCGCTCGCTTCCGAACTCAACTTGCGTGCGACTCTGGCGAGCAAAGGGAATCTCTCCGCTCCACCATGTCAGGGGGGTTCTTTAGGGTGGATGCATTCCTCCTGCAGGTAGCGAGTGAGCTCCAGCTCGGCTCAAACTCTCTTCGGGACGGTTGCAGAAGCAGTGCTTGTCCGGGACTTCAGGAGGTCTCCGAGCGTTTATTATTTATTTATTTTTTGCCGCTGGTGGCAGCTCCGTCTCGGCCAAGGACTCTGGCTGCGCAGCAGCTGACGTACTGAAAACCAGAAAACCAAAGCGCTCCCAAAGGAGCGAAGTAACGTTTCGTTTTGATACCAGTGCAGCCATCCTTCTCAACATGCATCATTGAGTTGAACAAAGTTCAGTAATCGCGGTGGCCCATGATGCAGCGCGGTGGGCTTCTTCATATCGCAAAATTTCATTTTTGCGGTTACCGCGACAGCCCTATATGGTGCTTTACTGTCTGTGCGGCCATACTGTCCAATTGCTTTGTCATGTGGTCTTTCCATTCAGATGAAATCGGGGACCCATCAAAATTAAAATTTAAGGTGGACTTTGGAAGCGTCTTTGTTTCTAGCGGTTCTTGGGATGGTTCGGCTGATCCTGCTGCACTGAGCTGCTTCGAACAGATGGTCTGGTAGGTGTTCATCTGTGCTATGATGCACTTTGGAGGGATAACAACATCATGGTCAGACTCATTGTAGATGCGGACTGGTACCTTGTAAGGCCGCCTGGGCGTAAGTTGAACTAAGGTGGGTTTGACAACCAATCCTCCAGGCAAGGAGGATGAGTCTGGATGTTCCAGCCGGGCAGATTTCTCGTTTAGGAACCAACTGGCGGTTGCGAACCCCTCAAGTATGACAACCTGCCTAACCAGGATCACTTGTGAGTTGTTCTCCAACCTCACTATGGCGTGAGGTTCAGGACCCGTCTCTCGTCTGTGTCTCACTTCAAGCACCTTAAGCACTGCTTGGTAGCCACTGGGAATGGGTTGATGTGAAATCCCAGTTTTGGAGCAGACATCGAAGAGGACGTCGAGAGTGTTGGTCCCTATCAACACGAGAGGTTCAATGACAGTGCTTAGATTGGAGACAACTAAGGCAAGTGTGGTTACATCAGTTGGAATTCCTATAAACTCTTTTGGAAACCTGACAACCAATTCAACATAGCCTAAGTAGGGGACTGATTGTCCTGCGGCTCCCTCTACTTCCAGGATGTCATGAAGTGGTTTTATCTTCTGGTCTGAGAGGTGCTGGTCATAAAACGACCGCGGAATTGTCGTTACTTTCGACCCTGTGTCGAGCAAGCAGCTGATTTCCTTGTCTTTTATATTTATCAACGCTATGCTTTTTGTTCCGACTAGTCCTTTAGGAAGCCTACACTGAGGTTTGTTATCCATTCTTGTTTGGTCTTTGCTTGTGCAGGCTTGACAGTTAACAGCAACACTTTTCACTGAGGAACTTTGGCTAGTCACAGCTCCTGTCCGTCCCACAACAGAAGCTGTCAGCCGTTAAAATGCGACTTGGGGTTGGTCTTCATCTGCCACTCATTTTGCTTCTTCTCTAGCTGTTTATGCTTCTCAGCCACTAAAATAGGATTGGGGGCGTCTGTGCATGATGATGAAATGTGGCCATCCTCCCCACATTTAAAACAGTACCAGGGTCTGGGTTTACCCGTCTGCTTTGGGTCTGTCGGTGGTTTTATATTTCCACTTGGTTTTCCTTGGCTATGAGCTCTTTGTGTTTTTGCCTTTTTATCCGTTCCTTTTTTCTGCTCCATAAAGGACGCTAGTTGACTCTGTAATGTGGCAACTTGCTTGGCAAGACTCACGATTGCACTGGGGCAATTATCTGGACGTTCGTTTAGGTCTGCATTCACGCAGTGAGCCTGAATTTGGATTCGCTGACGCGTAGTCCTCATATGTCTCTTCATGTGGTTGGCTTTTGTCCGTTGCCGATCTTCCTCTGTACGAAGCATTAACAAAAGCTCACCAAATGCTGGGGGTCTGCAGGGTGCTATCCCAGCAACCTCTACACAACTGCTTCAGGAGGTGTCTGTCGACTTCTTTTGGCATAACTCCACCTCTCTGTACTGCCAGGTTTGACGCTGATTGTAGCCGATGAAGATATGTAGAAGCCTCCTCCCCTGGGTCTTGGAATGTGTTCAGAAATTGGGCAAATAACTCTTCCCCATCTTCCACGATACTGAAAGCAGAGTCAAGTAATTGCAGGAAGGCCAGAGGGGGAGAGTTTGGCTGCAGTCCTTTGATCACATCTGATGCAGGTGGGAGCAAGCTCTCCACTATTTTAATGGTAATCTGCAGAGGAAGCAAGTTAGGGTAGCTCAACAGCAGTTCAATGTGTGACCTCCAGGTGTCGTAATCCGGTTCATTGTTGGGCCTTGGATTCTTTCCAGAAAAGGAGCGAAGTCTGACTTGGGACTGGAAATGAGGGTTGGTTGCTTCACTCCTCATAATGTGTTCCACTACGACCTTCTGGTGGGTTCATGTCCTTTGCTGATAACGAAGGGACAGCAGGATTGGTATCAGGTGACGTAAGGTCACCCCTTTGGTCGAGGGCACCTATGGGCGGAGAAGGGGGTTTCTGCCCTGTCGAACCCACTATCCCCTGAGATTCAATGGTAGTTTCAGTCTGGGTATCAGAAAATATCTCGGCCGTAGAACCAAGAGTTTCAATGTCTCTACTGATTTGAACCACTGCGTCTTTAAGAACGTGTTCATATTCAGCGCCGCTAAATTTAGCTAACGCTTTAAGATCAGAAAGGTAAGTTCTGGTAATAATACCACTGACTTTAGTTTGGTATACACTGCTCAGAGCTCTAATGGTGTAAACCACAGAGGGATCATCCTTTAAGATGTAACAATAAGGTAGCGTTACACTTAATGCCTCTAACGCAGCGCCATTTGAATACTCAACGATCAGGCTTTGGTAAAGTTCTGGTATCTTTTCATCAACTAGAATAGTTCTATGGATAGATCCATATTTCTGAAGGTAATCTATGACCTCTTCATCTTGTTCTACCTGGGTAAGCCCACTGACAACTGCATTGGGGACTTTTACATCACTCTTTAACAAAAAATCCATTTTGGGAAAACATTCAATATTGAAGTTCATTCAGTGGCTCTCCTGGCTGGCTCGCCAAAGTTTATGTAACCCTTTACTAACTATGTGATAACCGAGTAACATATATTTAATAATAAAAGACGATTCTGGACCAGTCTCAGAAGCTATAAATTCGTACGGAGAGCCAAGGTAAACTTAAATATGAATGAATGCCACAAGGTAAGTTATTTTCTTTATGTGTAGTCAACAATTATAACAAAACACAGTTGACAATCTGAACACAGTAGTGCAACCCGATCATCCGAACAATGAACAAAAATAAATTACAATTGGCCGGCAAAACGTACATTAACAAGGAAAAATATAGTATTAAACCCACTTTAATACCCTTCAATCGTTGGGGCCCTTTTTTTTCTCTTTTCCCTTGTCACTGGTTTGTGTCCAATGCAAAAGTTCAATTGTCCTACCACACAGGCAGAGGAAAAGGAAGGGTGCCACACCCTCTTCTGTCCTGAGGTTCCACTGGCTCGCCACCCAGCGTCTGCTAGGAGTCTTCTAAGGATTCAGGTTCCAGGATCTGATGCGACTTCGCAGGGATGCTTCAACCGAGCAAGTTCAAGGTTCTTAACGCCGGGGACACACCGGCCGCGGAAGCGCCGCGAAAATGGGGCCGCCTTCATTCAGTGCCCTTGTTAAGCTATTCTATAGACCACATGAGCCGCCGAAGCGCCACGAGGCGCATCACGCCGACGCTCCAGCCCGCGCCGTGCAGCGATCATTTCGGCGTCAGCTCTATTTTTTTCGCGAGCCGCGGGTGAATCGAGTCAATTCTGGCAGGAAGTCAAACCTAGACATAAGAGGCAGGCCGGTAACGTTAACAAAATAAAGCATTTCAAAATAAAATTCCGCAATAGTCAAATGTGTTCGTAATCAGACACTGCAGAAAAACCACACAAACACACACACACATACACACAAATCGAACTTGTGTGACCACGTGAAGGGGTGTGTGGTTTTGGGTGTCTTTTCACCGGAGCAAAGAGGACAGAGAGGCAGAAAGTCTGAGGCAAGCAGTTAAGATGGATGACTTTAAATTAATTATGGAAGTTGAGAAACACAAGGAGCTGTACGACCCCCGAAAAACACGGTTATTTACGTACCCATTTCGGAAGAAACTGCTAGGATACAGCTGCAGAATTGGAGCGGGTTCCAAGAGATTCAACTGGCAGAAACAACTCATACCATAGGTTCACACACACACACACAAATGTAGAGGAAAAGAGCTAAGAAAAGGCAGAGAGGAAATGGAGGACACCAATTGTTTAAAAGAAAAACTACAGCTGAGCCGAGGCGCGCCTCGACTGGGGCGCGTCTGATCTGAACTGAGGAGCAGCGAGCAGCGGCCGAATTTCGTGAGCGATTCGCTTCTTGGCACTTCCGCGGCCGGTGTGTCCCCGGTGTTATCCGGATCTGTCCAATACTAAAAAAACCTGACCTGCAGATCAGCCAGAAAAACCCAAAGTTTTATTATGATCGCATCATTTTTCTCAAATATCCCATCCAATAATTATCTTATCCATCTGATATTAATTATTCCAATTTATACCCTCCCAATTCAATTTCACTACAAGTGAATTCTGATATGTATAATGTAGAATTACAATTACACACTTAAGTGCAACATTCACCAAATCTTATTACATCAGCTTGATGCTAATTTAGCATTAGGGATCATCATAGAACCAGTGATGGTTTCTATATAAATTAATATAACACACATCAAAGATCAGAGATACCTCACAGTAATCATACATTCAACCAATTTACAGATATTACAGTCATTCATGTGCTATCGGCTGCCTGTATGCACCGGTATCAGAACAGGAGCGCACCAAAAATTGATTTCAACTCACCCATGACAAGGAAAAACATCCTAACACATCTCCACTATACTAACATTTTACATCAGTCACATTCTGACAGTCACAATCAAAATAGTCTTCTCTCTCTTCAGCTGAACTGAATACACCTTAAAAAAAGAAAGTTTTACAACACACTTAGTTCCATTTTCCAGCTAATGGAAAAACTAGGCTAACTTAGCCACCCTAGCCAGGTGCTAATCACACTTTTCACCAATTTTCACCATCACGTCAGCTTTTACACCTTATTTCTTTCACTCTAAGGTCGTTATATATATATATATATATATATATATATATATATATATATATATATATATATTTTTTTTTTTTTTTTTAACGTCCCATAACCTAAATTTATTACACCTCACTCACCGTCAAGTCAAGATGGGGTCTCTCAGATTGATCCAGCATCGGCGCCGACCGAGTGCCAATACCGGAGCTCTACAACCATAAACACGACGATATAACCACCAAACGATAGCAAGTACCTTATATTAACATCAGCTTTGGTCAAAAAGTCATTTTGTATCTGCTTACCATGCGGATGGTGGAAGATTTTAGTTTTCAGTTCCTAGCGATGACACGAGGCTGTTTCACTCACAGGAAGTAAGGAATCAGAAGTGTCATGACCTTGGTCTGTTTTAGCCTTCCAATTGGTCGGGTTCTCCCGAGGGATCATGGGAACAGTAGTAACACCATATTTTGACAGAAATTCCATTAAATAGCAGTTTTTAATCAATGAAGTCTTATTTATTTGACAGTTTATCAATAAATTACTTACTTGATGGTTTTTCCTCAATTAATTTATGACGGATATAATTATTTAAGCACATTTTAATGGAATGGTATTTTATTTAAAAATAGATTTCTCCTAAACCTTGGTTACACTTTTACCTGAAGAGGGCGCAATACAGACAGTTTTACGCCGGGGACACACTGGCCGCGGAAGCGCCGCGAAAATGGGACCGCCGTCATTCGGCGCCCTTGTTAAGATATTCTATAGACCACATGGGCCGCCTCGCGCCGCGAATCTTCTCGCGCCAGCGCACCAGCCCGCGCCCTGCAGCGATCATTTTGGCGTCGGTTCTATTTTTTTTTCACGAGCCGCGGGTGAATTGCGTCAATTTTGGCAGGAAGTCAAACCTAGACATAAGAGGCAGGCCGGTAAATTTAACAAAATAAAGCATTTCAAAATAAAATTCCACAATAGTCAAATGTGTTCGTAATCAGACACTGCAGAAAAACCACACACACACACACACACGTACAAACACTCAAACTTAGAGGAAAAGAGCTGAGAAAAGGCAGAGAGGAAATGGAGGACACCAAGTGTTTAAAAGAAAAACTACAGCTGAGCCGAGGCGCGCCTCGACTGGGGCGCGTCTGATCTGAACTGAGGAGCGGCGAGCAGCGGCCGAATTTCGTGAGCGATTCGCTTCTCAGCGCTTCGCGGTGCTTCCGCGGCCGGTGTGTCCCCGGCGCTAGGCAGAATATTTAAATTTTAAGTAAGATGAACTAAACTGCCAAACTATTGACTACACATGTCCACAGACCAGACACTCATTTATCGTTTATCAGCAATAAAAAATGGATTTGGGGGTGACTTGCTCTTTAAACGTCTGATGTGCAATCAAGCTTCTAAGCTAGGTTTAAACATGGAACTGCCTAGTAAGCTTTGGACATCTGAAACCTCCGGCTTCCTCTTTTGTTTCACGTTGAGTTTTCTTAATTCTCATTTTTCAAAGATGGCTTCATTTACTTCACTCTTTATCGAAGTGAACCCAACCGCCTTTGCATGAACCAAGATTAGAGTGAATGGATGGATGTTAGAAAGAGCACCCACTGATCCACACAAACACAGTGAAGGTCATCTGGAGAGGTTAAAGTTCAGACTGTCTATGGATCTCCAGCCTCTGAGGCAGCATCCACTGGCCATTGTTTTCTGTAGGATTCATGAAGGTGTAGATTCATTTTTCTTTACAGGGAAATTTCATGATTACTGTAAAAAGACCCAGATATTATAAAATATAAAAGTATTTTTATGTTTTATTTTCCTGTTTCTGCTGTGTAACCCATTATAAGGGAAGTGAGCATCAAAACATTACATGGAGAACTTGAGAATTCCAATATTCTGCTCCTCTCCATCAGTACCTCCTTATTCTATGCCTGCATCCTCCTCCTCCTCCTCTGGACAACTAATCCCCATAAGCCTCCATAATGGTCTCGGAAGGAGGGAGGAAGTTTAGAGGGGAGAGTTTGAGGTCAGTAACCTTCACAAGCCGATTATTACAGGTCGGCCATGTTTCACAGAGCCAACTGCAAGGCCTCAAACTCAGAACTTCAGTCTAACAAAAAGAAAACAAAAGGAGGAAGCTAATGGATTTTGAAGCTCAGGTTGTTGGCAGATTGAGATTCCACAGGGTTAACAGGTTTCTGTAGATCACTAATCTGCCACCAGAGGGCAGCACATGCACGAGGTAATTACACAACAGCCTTGGCTGGAGAAAGTGTGTTACTTGGCCACAGCTCCGTGGTGTGCTGACAGAGCCCTGACCTAAAACAGAAAGTATCACAAAGGTGGATTAAAAGGCAGCATCACAATGGATTAACAAAGAAGCTCATCCAGCAGGTGACCCCTTAAGCCTGACACCTCACGATTATTAGGTACTAACATGCCACAGGCCAGGAGTCACCTACACTCAGGTTTAGAGTTTTGTTTATTTATAATAAATAAATATAATACACCCACAGCACATTACAACTTATACAAGTGACCAATCAATGCTACAGAAAACCCCCTACCCTGCCTGGGTGGGAGCTACGTTTTACAGCCAAGCTCTCATTTTGCAAATGAAACAAATATTAATCATCCCCAAGTTTGCTGATTATTCTTTTATAATGGCAGCAGGAAAAGTGTTTGGGAGAATGGTCTGGTGTTAAGATGGAGAAAAAGAAAGTCCAGTGTGTCTGTTATTATCAGATTTGTAGATTTGTTTTGTGAAAATGAGACATGCATTCAAATTCAGTTTAAAGATACTTTATTAATCCCAGAGGGAAATTAGAGTTTCAGTACACACAATTCTGAGATCAGACATACTTAAATAGACACATGACAAGAATTGGTGACTGTGGTCATTCGCAACCTGAGTCGCGTTACCTTAATAGAGGTCAGAGGGTTTATATGAGGATTGAGTCAAGTGGAAGAAAAAAAGGCACTTCAGAGTTACCCTCCACAGGGAGGGCAGCTTTGCTCTGCAAAAAACCCCTCAGACAGAAATGCAACAGACCTCAGACATTACACAACATAAGTGTCCACTAGGTGGGGTGGTAGGGTTGGGACTCTCCTCACTTCAGTGCATGCAGCCACGATAAGCAGCGCTCGTCACCTCCGTTTGGACAGGGGAGGGCGGTCGTTGGGTTTAGAGAGCACAGTGACTCCTGGAACGATTCAACGGCCTTCATCGGTCACAGTCCCGCTCAGGCTGGGATAGGGAGACAGAGTTGCCATGGTGATGACAGCATTCCACATTTCTCCTGAGGGGGGAGTTTTCACTTCAGCCTCACGTCTTCGAAGGCACCAGATCCAGATAAGAATTGTTTTGGGGCCAGACAGAGATAATTTACTCTCTGTCTTAACGTTCCGTTGGTCCTCAACCCCTCTGAATCCAATAATGGCGTGATTAATCTATCCCGATCCGTGCTGACCCGTCAACTGTCTCCTAGATCGAATCCACCTTCTGTACCAGAATCTGAATCTCAGCCAAAGTTCCAAGCTTACGACCCATCTTGACAATTATATGAGTTTGTGCGTTCACAGCGCGGTGTAATCCATCTCTGAGCTCCGGGATTGAGCCAATATTCCTCGACAGCTCATTAATTTTCCGGTAAGCCAGATAACCACACAGGCCAAAAAGCAGGAAACCTCACACGAACAATATCCAGACGTCTTCAGAATCCTCTACAGACAGTTGGGAGAGGCAGATCAGGTTCCACTGTTTCCAGGAGTCCATGATGTGCCCAACTGGCTCTGTCCCAGACGGGCAACCGGGAGCCCCTTCTCCCGTTCTCATCGTTGAAAAAATGTTGTCAATCGCATGGAGAGACCAAATGACCAGATCCATTTTTAATAATTTCCAGTTTACAGAAAAAATGCAGAAGCACCGTACACACAGACAGACAAAGAGCCTTGGGATAAGATGGGGAGGAGAGGAGGAAAAAATGTCTGTACTCTCCAAGAGTCGGAAGAAGAAGTCATCAATTAGAACGAGGGATGAGGCTCAATAAAAAAATACAATGCAATTAATCACATTTTAATCGTTCTAGACAATTTTCCCCAAAGCAATTTTTTCTTTAATAAAAATATTACTAGCGAGTCACAGATGACACACCCACACTTAAATGAGTATATCTCTTTAACCACAAGATCTATTTGATTACTTTAGTCTCATTATAAAGATACTCAAAGGTCAATTTTTCATCAAAGTGTCATGACTCCCAGTCTTACACCCTCCTCTGCCTCTGCTGCCTCCTCAATCAAGCCCTCAGCCACTTAATTACCATCACCTGCACACTGTCATCAGCTCATCTCACTCACCTGCTCCCCCTGCTATATATTCACCAGCCAGCCACCAGTCCCCTGCCAGATTATTGAACACTCTTTGTATGTAGACTTTCCAGCCTTGCACCTTGCCTGATCACAGCCTCTGGACCTCGTTTTTACGCCTGACCCCTGCCTAGGACTCTGACTGCCATCTCGACCCTTGCCTGTATCTGACCCCTTCTCTAGTCTGCTCCATTTACCTGCTTCACCTCGTTCTGGTTTTTGACCCACGCCTCTTCTCCGACTCTGTCTCCAGCCTCGCCCTCCTCTGGTAACGCCACATCCAGTGAAGACTTTTTAAGGTACTTTACTGTGTTTGGTGTCACCACGGGTCTTCCAAGTTCTGATCGTGACACAAAATGACCAGAAATGATCTTTTTAATTTGCAGACATAATTTTAATTTGCAGACATAAACACCCATCTGTCTGGCCTCCAAACAAGAAAGCACTACCCAAGGCCTTGCTACCGAACAAGGAAGCCATCATATCTTGGCTCAAGGTCTCATGCAGAAGACGAGACTCCTGCCCTTTCACTCTGAATAAAGTTCATCTTCCTTGAATCATCAATGACTTCACCACTTTATAGGTTGAAATAATCAAGTGTGTTGAATGAACAAGATGTTTAAATCCCAAAGTGTTTGAATCATGTGTGCATTAATCAAGGTTGTGTTCAAATGAATATTTTTCCTGCAATGACTCATTTCAGATCTTAAACTACACCAGATCAGTATTTGTTGATTTAACAAGTTGGTCTCAGTGTACTCATACACATTATGATATTATTATAAATGTCCCCACTAGAGCCGGGCCTCATTAGGGCTTTTCCTGTTTCAGTTCGGTTCGGCTCAATTTAAGTATTTTTCTATCCAGTCCGGTTCCATCCGGTTCATTTCTGTCCAGTTTGGTTCTGTCCGGACCAATTTAATTCTTTTTAATCCAGTTAGATTAGATTAGATTAAGTTTATTTGTAGAGGGACTGTGCATATTAATGGGCGTATATAATTATACATATATGCAAGCCAAGGCTAATTTCCATCTTTAGTCCAGCAGCAGGTCGATAGCTGCTACACGTGTGTGAATACAAACAATCAGGAAAACAAATACAAAACAATGTTGTGATCCTAAAATTAAACCCAAAAAATAGATTAAAAAAATTCATAATACACCCTAATTTGCTAAATTACCTGCTTCTGTTTACCCAGGATTAAAACTTTAAAAAGTAGCCACACAAGTTAAAATTTTTCATACATGCATATAAAATATAATCGTACACCATTTAGCAGCAAGACAATATTATCGTCCCTACCTCAGTGGAAAAACATTCTTTACCTTGACCTTAAATTTAGTGTTATATTTTCTGATTATGTTTGATTGGGGCGATGGTGGCACAGGAGTTAAGTGCTCGCCCCGTAATCGGAAGGTTGCAGGTTCGAGTCCCACTCAGTCTGTCGCTGTCGTTGTGTCCTTGGGCAAGACACTTAACCCACGTTGCCTGCTGGTGGTGGTCGGAGGGACTGGTGGCGCCAGTGCTCGGCAGCCTCGCCTCTGTCAGTGCGCCCCAGGGCAGCTGTGGCTACATTGTAGCTCATCCCCACCAGTGTGTGAATGTGTGTGTGAATGGGTGAGTGACTGATTGTGTTGTAAAGCGCCTTGGGGGGTTCCAGGACTCTAGAAGGCGCTATATCAAATACAGGCCATTTACCATTTACCATTGTGTGAACAGATTTGAGTATCTAATATCCACAATTTGAGTTCTTTGCTAAAATAATTCACAGTATAAAGTTCACGGATCGCTGTTGGACCTGTATTCCATGTTCTTGAGGCATGATGTGAAAATATCGCATGTCCAAAGGTGCTTCGTCTGAAGGGGATCAGACAGTCACCCCAGGAACTCGCCCTGGTCGATATATCGTCTTTTCCTTTTGGTTTAATGTTCTCTTGTAATGGGATCGGAGCCAATCCGTGTAACACTTTAAACATAAGTATTGAATCTATATATCTAATCATGTTTTCCCAGCTCAGTATTCGGTATTTTTCAAGAATTCTGCAATGATGATGTGCTTTTGGTTTTCTGTCTAGGACCTTCCCATCCAGTCCAGTCCCATCTAGCCCAGCCTGTCTTGTCCAGTTAGTCAGCTATTCCCTTCTGCCAATTAGCGAGTCTATTTAATCAAACTGCTCACTCCAGTCAGCCCACTCTACCAGTCTCCAAACCCAGATAGGCACCTGCATGGCCCAGTCAGCTATCAGTTCAATTCAGTCTCTCAGCCATCCGGTCCAATCAGTCTGCTGTCCAGTCCTACTGGTCAGCTCTCAAGCCCAGTCAGTCATTGGTCCAGTCCAGCCAGTATACCCCCACATCCAGTAAGTCAGTCTGCAAGTCCAGTCGGTCAGCTGCTCAGTCCCTACAGCTAGGCTCCCTCTCAATCCAGTTCTGCAAGTCAACTTTCCACTCCAGTCATTCAGCTCCCCAGTCCAGTCCAGTCAATTAGCTGTCCAGTTACTACCTGCTTAAATTAAAAATGGAAGCAAGTTAATACCTGCAAGCCACTAAATCAGCTTTCCAGCCCAGTTGGTAAGCTGCCACTCCAAGTAATGTCCAGTCAAGATAATTCCGGTCCTGTTCAGTCCCCTCCAACCAAGTTTCCTTCAGTCAACTTTCTCCCAGTCAACTCCAGTTTCTTTCCGATTCTTCTGGTTTCTTCAAGCCAAGTAAAGTTGAGTCCCTGCAAGTCAAGACTCTCTGTCAAGTCGTCAGTCAAGTCCACTCCAGTTCCCTTCAGTTCAGTCTCTCCAGTCAAGTAGTTTCCCATTCTTTCAGATTCCAGTCAACCCCAATCCAACCCTTTTATTCAGTACTAATCCAGCCCTTTTCACCCCAATCCAGTCTCTTTGCACCACCTCCAGGCCTGGCTCCAGAGGGGGGCCCCGGTGACCCACGTCCAGGCGAGGGAACACGGTTTCCACTTATATAATTCATCATAAGAGGTCTTCGGGCTGCTCTTTGTCTGATCCCTCACCTAGGACCTGTTTGTCATGGGTAACCCCACCAGAGGCAGAAAGCCTCAGACAACTTAGCTCCTATCACTGAGACACTCAAACCCCTCCACCACGGTAAGGTGGCAGCCCAGGGAGAGGTTTTTCTCTTCTTTTTATAAATCAAGTTTTTGTGTCTGACGATAAAGATGAAGGCTATTTGAGCTATTTATTACTCAGTTAATCAATACTTATTATAACATTAATTAAGCATGCTTAAGTTAAATGATCAGGTTCTGCATACACACAAAACAAATCTTCAAACAGCCTTCAGAATCCTCCGTCCTCTCTGTCCATCTTTCCATTTAAGGTAACATGGCAGAAGCTGGTGAATGGCACCAAGCAGAACGTTGCCATTGCCAATCCGTCTCTGGGTTTGTCTGTGGCCTCGCCTTACACGGACCGGGTCACCTTCAAGAATGCAGCAGTCAGACGAAGAACTCCAAATCTTGAAGATACAACCATCTGCTTCTCATCGCTTCGCCTCTCTGATGACGCCACGTACATCTGTGAATACACCACGTTCCCTGCAGGGAACCGGGAGAACACCGTAAACCTCACTGTCTACGGTAAAGATGTGTGGAAACACCACAAAACTTCACTGTTTACATTTATACCACGATTCATGGCTTTTGCTCGTGTTCCCTCAGTCCGACCTACAACTCAGATGAGTCTGTCCACCCGACGCCGGTGGCTCGGTCTTCAAACCTAAAAACTCCAGTAGCGACCTGCATCTCTGCCAACGGAAAACCACCTGGAACCATCAGGTGTGTGTTCAGGACCCAGTCTTCATAAAGAGCCCTTCTTTCTTCTCAATGGTTCCTCCCATCCCAACACACATCGTTGATGTGAGCAGGTGGGAGACGAGGGTTCCAGGAGAGGTGACGGTTCAGAGCGACTACATCCTGGTGCCCAGCAGAGAAACACACCGGGAGATACTCGCCTGTGTCACCATGTACAACGAGGAGGTCTACACAGAAAGTGTCACCCTTGATATTCAGTGTAAGTGTTACTCATATGTAACAGCAAAGCACTGAGATATGTTGAGGTGACACTGGAAAAAATGATTTTGTTACTGTTTGATTTCCAGATGAGCCGGAAGTCACAATCGAAGGGTTTGATGAAACTGGTACTTGAACAGAGAGAACGTCCAGCTGATCTGCCGTGCTGACGCCAACCCACCTGTCTCTCTGTATCGGTGGAGACTGTGAGTGCGCACGCACGCATGCACGCGCATGCACGCTTAACTTATTTTGTTACTGTGCTAAATTTGTTATCTTTCGGTTCTCTGAAGGATCAATGGCTCCATTTCAAGCAACATTGAAATCCGAGACAACGTCCTCTTGTTTAAAGGTCCAGTCACGTATGACCTGCAGGGATCAGACAGTATGTGTGTGATGCTACCAACAGCATCGGTACAAGATCAGCCTCGGTGGAGATCGGCATCTTAGGTAAGAGTCTACATCAGTTACTTACATTTACTGTTGGAACTTGTTAGAATTGTATTTTACACCAAGGTGTTGTGAACAGTAAATGTGTTGATCAGTTTTTGTTTGTGTGTGGGGGTTTTAGAAAAGCCTTTACCGCAGATTGCAACAGGTGATGTCATCAGTGTAATCGCCTCACTATTGGCTGCTGGAGTGCTGATGGGCGTCACTGTCACAGTCCTAGTTCTCAAAATCAGAAGCAGAAGAGAAAACCCGTATGTAAACCTGATCATCTAAGCTCTTGTTTTTTTCCATTTACTTCTCTGATTGTTTGTTTTCTCTTTAATCAGAGGCGATTCTCCGCCCAGAAAACAGCCGATAAGGAAAAGACCAGATGGTATCCAGGTATTGGAGCATTAGGCTGAGATTTTTGAAAGTAAATTACAAAAATAGAGCACAGAAACAATCAGTAACTGTTATGTGTTTTCTTATAAGGTTATGATGGTAATGGTGCATGTAAAAAAGCTTTTTTTCTGAGATGAGATGAAAATACCAAAAACACAAATTTACAATAAAATCATCAAGCTTCAAAGTTTGTGCAAATAGCTGTCGGATTAAAATAACTTAGATAATGTTATAATCAGTCAATTCAATTCAAGTTTATTTATAAAGCGCCAAATCACGACAAGAGTCGTCTCAAGGCACTTAAACATTCCAATTCAGGTCAATTCATTAAGCCAATCAGTAAAACGTTTCCTATATAAGGAACCCAGCAGGTCCATCAAGTCACTGACTAGTGTCAGTGACTTTACAGCAATCCTCATACCAAGCAAGCATTTAGCGACAGTGGAGAGAAAAACTCCCTTTTAACAGGAAGAAAACTCCAGAGGATCCTGGCTCAGTATAAGCAGCCATCCTCCACGACTCACTGGGGATGGAGAAGACAGAGCAGACAGACACACACACACACACACACACGCACACACGCACACGCACGCACGCACGCACACACAAACACACACCACACACACACACACACTATTTATCCTAGTGAAGCTATACTATTTATCCTAGTGAAGCTATAATTAAACGGGTAAACTAGTAGTAGCACATTCAATGTCAAAGAAAATAAAGTGTTGTCAACAGAAGAGGGAGAATGTTTAAGTGGTTAGCAACAGTGTTCAAGTCGATGGCCCCCTCCATGAGGCCACCACAGCTCAGCAGAACATCATTGAAGCTTCTTCTGGGGAGAAAAACACTTAGAGAGAAAATAAAGTTAACAGCTGAAATAGCAGGAAATAATACAGTTAAGGAGCAGATTGTAGAAGAAAGCAGTCGAGTGTGGAAAGTGGTATACTAGATAATTGTTTCTTTATATTTCTTTTTGAACTGCTTGAAGTTTGGACATTGCTTCAACTCGACATTCAAACCGTTCCATAGCTTCACCCCACACACAGAAACACCTTACTAATTTTAAGGTAACAAAACCCTCTTAAATGATAACCACCTTTCCTTGTAGTAAAGATGTTTTGAATATATCCTGGTAATTGATTATTTTTAGCTCTAAACAAAATGCATGTTTGATATTCCACAAGTTGCACAAACTTGAATTTTCTGAGTTGTAAAAATAGTGACTGTGTATGATCCCTGTAACCTGCTTTGTGAATGATCCTAACTGCATATTTTTGAAGAATAACAAGTGAAGTTAATGTAGTTTTGTAGTTATTACCCCAGATCTCTGCACAGTAGCTTAAATATGGTCAAACCAGTGAAAAGTAAAGAATGTGTTGTGAAGGATGATCAAATACCTGTTTAGCTTTATCTAGTACTAAAATACTTCTTGATGTTTTAGAATGAATGTGTGTCATATGAGCTTTCCAACTAGGTTTCTCATCTGTTTGTCATGTGCCGGGGTGAGTACTCCTCTCATTGTTTCCATCTTTGAGCTACTGTGTTTCAGGAGAGGGAGGCTCCAGCTGCAGCTCATCAACAATCAGTGGGTCCAGCTATAAGAGGAGGAGGAGAACACAACTTGACGCCGGATTATTAACTACAACTTGGTAGTTCCAGCCCTTTGTATCTCCTGGTCAAACTCTAGTGATTTTTGGAATTTTTGAGTCTCTGTGGATTTACCCTGCTTACCTGTTCCTAGGATTTTTGGATCATTGTGGACCTTACCTTGACTCCTCAGGATACTCCTTGACTTACCTCCCTGTACTCACCTGCTCTTCTGCTCTCCCCTCCTCAGACGCTGTGGTTCCGTTGCAGTCCACTGGGCCTTATCCAGTGTGTCCTCAGTTCCCAATTATTTTAATAAAGATACTTTATTTTTACCGGTTTGGTGCGCGAGATGTGATTCTGCATGTCTTGGGTTAAACTCGTCCCCAAAACCATGACACTATTGTCACCCCAGAAATCTGTTTTCAATAACCCTTCAATGTCTACCCCATTTATTTGAATTATATTATTTGTGTTTAATTTGCTATTTCTGAATGCCATTATTTTTGTTTTCTCAAATTTAGTGATAACTTGTTTTTATCTAACCAGTTCTTTATTTTATTCTATTCATTTCTGTAGTCGTTGTTTGAAATCACAGTTGCAAATCATCCCCAGATTAAAACATGTTCGTATCATCGATAAAAAGAACAAGCTTTAATACCCTGGAAACTTGGCAGATGTCATTGATGTATAAAAGGAATAACTTTGGGCCCAACACTAACCCCTGTGGGACCCCACAAGCAATGTCCAGACATGAGGAGCAGCATTTATTGATCATCACAAACTGTTGCCAGTTATTTATGTAACTTGCCACCCAATTTAAAACAACCCCTTTGATGCCATAATGTTCCAGTTTCTTAACAATATTTCATGATCTATTGTATCAAACGCTTTTTAAAAATCTATAAATAACCCTGCAACATGACTTTTTTGTCTATTGCATTTGTGATGTATTCTATTAAATCACGTGAAGCCAGTGATGTTGTTCTGCCAGATCTAAGTCCATACTGACTGTCTGTGAGTACTTAATGTTTGTCCATACATTTTCCAGTCAGTTATCAAACAATTTTTCAAGAATTTTGGAGAACTGTGGTAGCAAAGAGACAGGCTGGTAGTTTGTAAAGTGGTGTTTGTTCCCAGCTTTGTAGACAGGTATAACTTTAGCTGTTTTAATTCTTCCAAGAAATAAACCAGTTTGAAATGATTGGTTACAGATGTATGTAAATGGTTAATACCCTCCATTACCCTTTTGCCCACCATCATATCAATGTCATCACAATCCAGGGATTTTTTTATTCTTACATTTGCTAATAATTTCAGTTATTTCATGTTCATCCACTGCTGTGAGAAACATTGATATGTAATATTTACATATTTGATCAAGTTCAGATCCCCTTTAAAACACACTCCGACGACCAGGGCTGTATCAAGGCTTTTTAGGGGCCAAGACAAAATAGACCCCTGCCCGGTATTTTGAGTCGAAGTGCTATTTGTTTTTATATTAGACTTTTTCATATTTGCAATCAAGTCCAAAAGAGAAGAATTTATGTTATTAGACGGGTGACGGTGGCACAGGAGCAATCGGAAGGTTGCAGGTTCGAGCCCTGCTCAGTTTGTCATTGTCATTGTGTCCTTGGGCAAGACACTTAACCCACCTTGTCTGCTGGTGGTGGTCGGAGGGACCTGTGGCGCCAGCGCTCGGCAGCCTCGCCTCTGTCAGTGCGCCCCAGGGCAGCTGTGGCTACATTGTAGCTCATCCCCACCAGCGTGTGAATGTGTGTGTGTGTGTGTGTGTGTGTGTGTGTGTGTGTGTGTGTGTGTGTGTGTGTGTGTGTGTGTGTGTGTGTGTGTGTGTGTGTGTGTGTGTGTGTGTGTGTGTGTGTGTGTGTGTGCTCTGTCTTCTCCATCCCCAGTGAGTCGTGGAGGATGGCTGCTTATACTGAGCCAGGATCATCTGGAGGTTTCTTCCTGTTAAAAGTGAGTTTTCCTCTCCACTGTCGCTATATGCTTGCTTAGTATGAGGATTGCTGTAAAGTCACTGACACTAGTCAGTGACTTGATGCAATTTGCTGGGTTCCTTGTATAGGAAACATTTTTTCTGATTCGCTTAATGAACTGACCTGAATTGGAATGTTTATTATGTGAAGTGCCTTGAGACGACTCTTGTCGTGGTTTGGCGCTTTATAAATAAACTTGAATTGAATTGACTGATTATAACATTATCTTAGTTATTTAAATCTGACAGCTATTTGCACAAACTTTAACAATTCATATGCTAGGCCTTGAGACTACCGGATAATGATTTAAATCCCTTAAAGACCTAAAAATCGTGAAAAATACAATGTAATTCATCAGTAAGGATTTCCTTTTATACACATATCAACCCAAGTGAAGTATTCTTTATTCTGGACTCTTATTCCAATTCACAGAAGCAGAAAAAAACATTTTACAGATAAGATCAAATGAAATATGAGCACAATATGAAAAGGACAAGAAACCATGAAAACAGAAAATAGGGACAATAGTAACAGTAGTGTGAAAATGAAATTATAGTAACTCTAATCTAAAAAAGAAAAAGACTCTTATACCAGTGTTTTAACATCATTGACTGGTACTGCACAGACACAGGTACTGGTTATATTTAAAATAATCACTTTGTGTGGCCAATAGTTTCCTTTTATTTGAATGGCCCCTTGCCTGTTATCCGGGACCTGTAATTTATCTACATGAAGAAAAAAACCTTTAAAAAAAACAAAATGACCCTGGTACTGACTAAAAGTGTAGTTTGGTAAACTATAAACTGAGCTAATGGTGTGTGTCCCCCCCCCCCCCCCCCCCCCCCCCCCGGATTTCTGAAGTGCGCTTTTACTTTGAAAGGTTGGCTTGACAACAGTCTGAGGTGCGCGCGTGCAGGTGAGGTTGTTTCTACAATCACTGAACCAACTCGTTGTTCGTCGTTTTCGGAGGTGATACCACACAATAGAGAAAACTCATCACAGACAGTGGTAAGTGTTTTTGTTTTTTATTATTGATTACATTGAGTGTTTGTTCTTTGCTAACTTAACTGGCGGGCTGATATCTACGATGTCGGTAGTAACGGTAATAACGGTAACCTTTGGTAAGTTGTGGTGTTTTGGCAAAAAGAAAATAAATTAGGGACAAAACTATGGTAAACGTATTATACAAGACAGGGGAACATCTCAG